CACACTTGTTTCCTGATGATGACATTAGTAGCAATGTCGAAAGCTCGAAATCGATAATAAATTAATGAGATTTTGTTAAAATCTATAATGTATTTCGTAGCAGTTCTATACAAAATATTCTATACAGTTTTCACTACTGCTCTTCCACCAACCTATTTCAGTAATATTCTTACTATGATTTTACTGTTGCTGAGTTTTGTATAAAGATTAATTCGTTGCGTCATAAATTGGGAACGCCACAAGAGATAGTGCTTATATGTCTCATTTCCTTTTCCAGAAATACGCTTAGTTGAAGGAACAGCTTGACGTTAGTATAAATAATAGTTCAGCTGCACTATCCCGCTTGTGAGACGCACGAATATAACTTCCTTTACCTTATCAAATGTTTTCCGAAAATCTGTTAGAACAGCTCTTACATAATTGTTTCGTCCCCATTAATTTTGTCAATAACGTCTAACAGAAGATTTGTTGTACTATCTTTGGCTAGAAAATCACACTGAAAAGCTGTTAATAGTTTATTTTTACCTAAATAATTATAAAGTTCCCTGTGGGCAATACTTTCAACACTTGCTATAGCGGGCAAGAGAACGATTGGTCTGTAGTCATTGTGATCTAGAGTATCACTGCATTTGAAGAGGGCACTAGCCAGCGGCGGCTACCTACCTACGCCGCTGTTAAACTTTCGTCATTTATACTGGAAGAAAATGTGACTGTTTTTCAAAATTCTAAAAAATTTTCAGGGTGGGCTGAGCCCACTCGTGGTACCGCCACTAGCACTAGCACAAGCACAGTCTTGTTTTCATGCAGAATTAAAGGTTCGAGCACTCGAACACTTATCAACGACTACTAGTAATGCAAGAATGGAAGTTATGTAGTAAATGAGAAATGTCATTTGGAAAAACAGAAATAGAACTTAATTCACATTTAACTTCGGAGAGATAATCAGTAAAGTAATTGAAAACAAGGCAATAATGTTATAGTTTTAGATTAGTTTCTTTTCTATGCCTTACCAATAAACTTCAAGCCTAATAAAAATGTTTAAAGCAAAGTTTATAATGCGTATTATTTGAATGATTTCTTATGATGAGCCGATTCTCTTTTGTTTTAACAAAAACAAAATGTATTTTGTTAGTTATTGTTTCAAGCTTATGTCTTTTATTATTTTATAAAGAAATTTATTATTCTAAATGGAATAGTATATTAATATTTCCAACTATTAAGAAAAATATTTCTATTCCTGACTATTATACAACAATTACATCAGTAACCAGAAAACTAAATATTGGCATCGTAATTGTATCCGATGTAAATGGGGAGCAAAAATATAAGCGGTACACTAAAAATCTAGAATGTTACGCAAAACGACATGGATATACATTTCTAATATTAGATCCAAAATATTATTTTATTTGTTCTCATTTGAAAAATTTTTTTTTTCAAAAACATTGTGCTATTATGAATTATTTAATATCAATGTCAAATCTTAATTGGTTACTCGTATTGGATGGAGATATTTTTGTTGTTAATGCTTCAAAATTGATTGAAGAGTTTATTCCAAATGAGGAAAATATTCATGTAGTTCATTATGAAAGATTTTATACAGGTGAAATAACAGCTGGTGCCTATTTAATTAAAAATCATGTATGGTCACATAATTATTTGTTAACATGGACTAATTTTTATTCAAAATTACCTAAAACAAACTATCATAATCATGATAATGGTGCGTTACACATGATATTTTTACAAATGATCGATAAAAATAATGAAACGCAAGCAAAATGTTATTCAATATATTTACAATCAACAGGCGAAAAGAATTATTATAAATATCTTCGCTGTTTTAGATGTTCAATTGGTGGACAACGAATATTTAAACATATTCGATTGCTTAGACGAGGTCAAGGATTTTCAAGAGATTTCTCAGTACCATTTACAAGAGATTTTCTCTTACATGGATACAAAGGAGATTTAAGTAAATACTTTTATAATACTACCGAATGTGCAAAAGACTGGTTATCGAACATACGTCAGACGTTATTTGTCTCAAACATAACAACAGCAAAAAATATCATAAGAAAAAAAGATCAATTTGCAATAAAAAATTATTCAGAATGTCTTGGAATTACGGATGTAACAGACTGCTGGCCAAATTGTGAAGAGGAAATAACTGGTGAAAAATTAGTGAAATATTTGCGCGCATTATGCCATGAATAAAACTACCGTTATTATCTCATTTCTTGCTTCTATTCATATGTTTAAATGGTATTCATTTTGCGAAGCTTCTCGTATCGATTTTGGAGGAATACAGGAGAGTGAAAGATTATCAAGGAACAAAACAGCATGAAATCTCTAAATTTTCTACCGATTGTTTTTGCTTCATACGGCAGCACATTATTAGCTTGTGGACCTCTAACCTCTACTTTCGTCTCATTATACCACATGACACAGTGGACATTTTTTGCTTGAGCAGGCGGACTTTAGCTTTATGAGCGAAACAAAATTTCATGAACCATTTTTTTATAGGTTTTTCATGATCCTCTTTCGAATGGCATGAGAGTTAGCTTTTGAAAAAGTTTTCTAAGGAGTTTTCCAGAGATCCAGTCTCTGGAAAACCCTTCAGAAA